AGTTATAAAAATGTTCATAATTACAAACAGTAACTAGTCAGTAACCAATCAGTATCCAGTCAGTATTCCACGGACTACTGTCCAATGAGAGGACGTGATTTCACTTTTCTTCACGGTAGTATTTATCATAACTATAAAATGAATGAAAAAATTATAAAATACAATGATGTTTTTCGTGCATTTGGTTTCAGAAGTAAAGTTGCAGAGGTGAACTCATGTAAAATGACCATTTTTATTCGGATGAATTACTCCACTCGCCTTCGGCTCGGTTCGTCCTTTTGAAAATGGAATGCAATTTTTACCATTTGTTTAAGATTACAAATTTACTACATGTCTTTATTCAAAGCGGAAAAAAATCACAGAAGGTGAGATCACCAAACATACAGGACTGTTCAAAATTTCTAAGGGTATCATTTTTTTGCATTTACCAATTTTTTATAATTTAATAAATAACATATGTATACATAGCTTTTTATGTACAGACAAGTTTTAAAATTTGTTCTGGTTTTAGACATTTTCCGTTCTTCAACATCTTTTGAAAGATTTATATTTTAAAATAAAGCCAAGTCATTTAAAATAATTGTAACGCTAATAAATATTTATAATTTGCTATTAATATAACCTATGATAATAACACGCAAAGCAGACTCAGTATGCTGCGCAGAGCAATTGCTTTAAAGAACAATATACGCAGACTGGGCCGCAGACAACGCATAGCGGAAAGGTGCGAGCAGAAACAATTCGTATAAACAGGAGGGTATTCAGGAAAATTTTAATTTAATAAATCAAAGTACAAACAATTACATAATAATATTATTTATTTATTTAATTTCATGCCTCAATTTGGGTAATATGTTTTTTGCTTACGCATGTCGAAGCCAATCGGGGGCCCCCCTTGCCGGGGGCCCCGTATCATTGATACGGCTGATACCGCGGTAGCTACTCCCCTGAGATTAACATTCAATATTATTAAAGGGTTCAGAAGTTTTACTTTAATAGTGTGCTTGAAAATGTTTAAACTAAAATGCTTGATAAGTACCTACTTTGCTAAACTGTGCAATTTATTTATTAAAAAATTAAATAGATGTAATAGATTAAATAGATGTATTGATCTAGATATCTCTATATCTAGTATATTTAGTAACTTCTACGAATATGGAAGATCCTCATTTTATAATTCTAATAAACGTGTGTATACTATTAAACAATTAAAAAAACAACAGTACTAAAAACCAAAAATAAAAAAAACAATATTAAAAAGTGTCTCATCTATAGACGTCCAATTTTATTTTATTTAACCAGTAAATTGTTTTATTGTTTGCTACAGCAAATACTTTTTTATTAAAACAATTTACTGGTTAAATAAAATAAAATTGGACGTCCTATTGAGTTGTCCTCAGTGAAATTTAATTTAAGGGTATAGGATATTATAGATTTTATATTTGCCGGCAGTAAAATGAAGTAACCTAAAAGTTTAGGGGTAATCATAAAGTTTACGGTCCACCTCAAAACATGTTCCAATAGCAATTTGTACCCCATCATAAAAAGATGTCACTAAGCAACATCCGATGGTTTTAGTTCCTGGGGGAAAATAAATGCGTTTCTGTGGGGGAGATACAAATCAACGGCTAGTCATTTTTATGTCACCGGAACGTTTTAGAATTGGGCGGTGATGGTAATTACGATCTTAACGGTTTAGAAAATTAATTTATCCTTAAAAAAGGATTTTATTTAATATTGTTTGAAATTTTAAAAAGACTTTTGATATAGCTTTATTGATTAAAAAATTAGGGTTCTTAAAAATTTGTATATTAATAATTAATTGTTAAATAATTAATTATAAAATATAATTATTAATTATAAAAATTCCTAGAATATTATGCGTATTAAATCTTTAATTTTATTATATTATAATTGGTTAAAAGTTTTTTATTAAGTAATAAAATTAAAGTTTTAAAAGTTTAGTCTCCGTAGGTTTTTTTTATTTTATGAAATCAAAATAAGTAGTAGGTACATAAATAAGTTTTAAAATTGGATTTTTTTAAAAAGCAACTTTTATCTTATAACACTTTTCAAGAAATTCTTATAAATCCTTATCACATGGCCAATTGTGAAGTGGTTTTTAAAGTATATTATGTATCAAGTTTGATACACGCCATTTTGGACACGAATTTAATTACGCACGAGCCAGCTTCCGAGTGAGTGTTTAAAATAGTTAAAAATTAAAATGGATGCCTTAAAAATGGATTAATAACGGTTTTTCACAGTAAAAGTAAAGAACATGTTTTATGAGCACTTCATGGTGGAGTCCGAGGCTGAATTTAAGTTATATCCACTGGATATTATCCAGTTTATTGCGTGCAAAATTAAAAGGTCAGTACAATGTTCATATAAACTCTTCAAATATTGGCGTTGAGAAACTATTTAATGCTTTTGTATTTTTGTATTGAGATAATAAAATAATTTCACATTTAGAATTATTTTACAAGAAGGGCACTTTATTTTAACGATTGTATGATATTTGACAACTGTCAACTAAATTAAAGCTAACTTCAGCCCGTGACTCAAAACCTATGGCCAACTTCAAGCCGTGACTGAAACGCCATAAAGCCACAACTTGTCAATGTGTATTTAAAAGGTCACTTTGTGTCATGGAAACATGTACGTTCATTTTAAAGGTAGGAGTAGAAAAAATAAATTAAAATTTATAATTATAATTTAAATATATTTACATTTTCATTTTCCTTTAATAATACGAACCTACGACGTAAATAAAGCAGCTGGTTTTATTAACAAAATTTTCAAAATTTATTAGTGACCTTAAAATTGATATTTATTTGTGAACTTAAATAATTAAAATTTTGACTATTATTGAAAATTTCAAAATTCGTTAGGGACCCCTAAAATGTTTTAAGCGAGCTAATTTTTGTAAAGAGCTTTTAAAAAAAAGCACTAACATATTTTCATAGGAGACTTGTTTTTTATTCAAATTTTTATGTGGAATTTTTGTTTTATTAAAAAAATATATAGAAAATTTTAAATAGAAAATCTTAGTACCTAGTCAATACTTTAAAAAAGCTTTAAATTTAATAATTATTATAGCCTAGTTTACATTACATATTTTATTCTATTTTTTAAAATTTTTGCAATATAAAAATAATATTAAAATAGTTAAAAACAAACTTATGATATTTAAAAAATAGTTAAATTTGTCAATTATACTTAATATAAACTTTTATTTTTTTAAACTGCAGTAAATTTTTTAACCGTGTCAAGCTCATTTTTTTATTTGGTTTGTTTCCTTGACCACTTCTATTACATTTGGATTATTTATATGTCATAAGTATTTTTCACTCCCACATTACATTACAGTACAAATAAAATTTGTTTTAAATTCTTCTTTGTGTTCATTGTAACTCGTTTTTATACCAAACTGGCTCCCAAGCTTCGTTCGTGACTTAAATGCTGTTTATCAAACTTGATACATAACATACTTTTAACATAAATGCCCAATAACTCAAAAGCTACTCATCAGGCAATTTTTATATTTTATGCCATTTGATATATTTTTAGAAGAAAATTAGGAATACTATATTATTTTAATTATAATAATGTTTAATCAAAATATATAGAATCAAAACTTAGTAGTGCTGAATTTATAGTGTACCTAAATTAATTAATTAAGACCCACCTACCTATATATAGGTACCTCTAAACAAAATCATAATATAACCTAAATTAAATACAAATAATAATAATCTTAAATTTTTCATTAAATACATAATACATGGATTCATTTAATCAACTAATTTTTTTATAATTTTGTTTTCAAAATAAAACTCGATGTCTATTAAAATGGTTTAGTTTATTTTACCTTTCTCTAAATCCGTTTTAAATTAAATTAGAGAAACTAGTTCCAGATTAAAATGACTTCTCCGGTTATATGAAGGTTTATTTCGCAAAAGCGAGCATAAACCTAACTTCTACCCTAAAAATACAAAGTCTATGAGGACCGACAAGCCTGGAGTTATTACATTTTCTTATCCTCGTTTCAATATTATAATTGCACTTTCGGTTTGCACTTTGACTTAAATTCCAGCCAACGCGTTGCAACGGCTAGCTGCCATGTTTTAAATATTCATATCTTTCATTTTTCTAGGAAATGGAGTCTATTGATTTTGACTGAAATTAAATGAAAATTTTTGTAAAATTTAAGTACTAAAATAAATGTAATAAAAATAAGCCTAAAAAAATATATTTTCCATGAAAATTAAATTTACACAAGAAAATTAAAACAATTTCTGTAAAAACCGACAAATATTTTTAAAAAATATTTAATTTGTATTGGTTTCTTGTTATTTACTTTTTAATTGTAAATTATACAAGGTGCATGGATGAAATTTATAAATAGGTATATCTTGCTTCTTTTTACTTTTACTTTTAAAACTTTTTAATGTAACTTTTTTTATACTTAAAATTGGATATAAAAAAAATGAAATTAAATTATACACACAAAGTTTCCTTCTATGTATGCATGGGTATATTTTTTATTTGAAGAGCTACAAGGTCAGTTAAATAAGAGAAAAGTTATATATAAAAATTGGAAAACATGGTTGTCAAATATTTTCAAAAATACTTGTTAAAACCTGTTAAAACCAAAAATCATTATAATTTTGTTATTCCTGTGAAAGATTCTAATTTATCTACATTTTTATCCAATTTTTAATTTTTTAAGCTACCACCACCATCTTTTGCTGCCATATTTGATTTTTACATGGTTAGATCAGACATATCATAGATAGAAAAAAATCAAGGAATCCAACGATGTATCAAACTACATAAGTTACCACAATATTTCGTCAATGGAGTGAGAATAAAAAATAGTCGTCTCAAACAAAGCACCCTAGTGTGGATTGTATAAATAAACTTAAAATATCGCGTGGTTTTAACGTGTAAAAAATACCATAATTTTATAAAAATATTTATTTTACAAAAAACAACTTTGTACAAGTATTTTGACAAAACGAATCGCACATAATTGTATGACTTAGTTACGAACATAAGGCTTTTAGTATCTTATGTATCATATCCTAAATATTATACCTATGGCTGTATACAAAAAGGATGGTTAAATAACGATTGTTTTTGCATACCACCATAAATGATTTATTATATTTACAAATGTTCTTACATTAATTACTTTACAATTAATTGATTTTTTTATTAATTTATTTAATTATATAATCAAAGGTGAAGGTTTGCTTTAAGGAATCAGCAAAATAAATACCAAAGAAAATATCATTTATTTATACAATGTTAATAAAAGTTGACTTGCAAAGGAAGTTAAATAAATCCCTAATTTTTTTTGCTTTATTTACAAAACCCTTGAGTATTATATATTTTTTTATTTTATTGTATTAAATTATAAAAACGAAATGTTAATTACCTTAGAATGTTTATAGTGAAAGTAAGGTGTAATAATTTTTATAATACACTCACAGGCAAAATAATCGATCCACACAAATTTTCGATGAATTTCAATCGCAAATAACTTTTTTATTTGATATCGGATTTAAACAAATATTAAAGAATAATGTAGATAAATTAATAGAGAATCGCTCACATTTTAAAAAATTACTAAAAAATAGATGTACGTTTATAATATTCAGGTTTAAACAAAAATAAGTTTTTTAACATAAGTTTAAGACACTCTGTAGAGTATACTCTATAGCTATAGCTAAACCGTATATTGTTCTAAATTAGGTTTTAGTTATCAAGTCACATCTATTATTAACAGTTTTGTTTTTGGTTCACCTCGATATATTTATTTTTGTGGAAAATATGGATTTTTTAAAAAAACATTGCAATTTCCAATATTATTTCTGTACCAAGAAATAAGGTTGCTATGGTCCATTCATAGGCTATGGAGGATGACAGTGACAGTTTTGTTGAATCATCCCATACTTGGACATGTCAGATACGGCTTTCAAAAGCTATGAAATTGTTTTTTGCAAATTAATGTTTAACTTTTGAGGTGTCTTCTTATTTTTAAAAATGAATTTGTCTCCGACTGATGTTGCCAGAGCCATTGATTTAATTCAGGATGGACTGTCACAGTATTACGTGGCAAGTGTTTTAAACGTCACAGTCGGAGACATACATTTTTAAAAGTAAGAAGACGCCTCAAAATTAACATATTAATTTACAAAAACCAATTTGATAACTTTTTGGGATAATTATGGGATAATTCAACAAAACTGTCACTGTCATCCTCCATAGACTATGGATGGACCATAGCAACCTTAGTTCTTCGTACAGAAAAAATATTGGAAATTGCAATGTTTTTTTTTAAATCCATATTTTACACAAAAATAAATATATCAATGTGAACCAAAAACAAAACTGTTAAAAATAGATGTGAGTTGATAATTAAAACTTAATTTAGAAAAATATACGGTTTTGCCACTCTACAGAGTGTCTGAAACTTATGGTAAAAAAAAATATTTTTGTTTAAACCTGTATGTTATAAACGTACGTCTATTTTTTTAGTAATTTTTAAAATGTGAGCGATTCTTCATTAATTTTTCTACAATATTCTTTAATATTTGTTTAAATCCAAAATCAAATAAAAGAGATATTTGCGATGGAAATTCATCGAAAATTTGTGTGGATCGATTATTTTGCCTGTGAGTGTACAACGATGATAATATAGTTTTATTGAATGTACGACATTACAGTTAAAACCACCTAATTATATTTTGTTCTCACAATTTTGCCAATAATCGATTTTAAAGTGGTGGAAAGCACATTTATTGGTTTAATAAAGTACACAATTTAACCTATTAAAAACAAATTGGCCAATTCTATTGAAAATATAACCTTTTAGGTGGTGTTAACTGTCCTGTCCTGGGTTTATCTGATTCGTAAAGATAATTGGAACACAGTCTCCATTCATTTTTTTGTTTTTACACACGTTTGTTAATTCCATATAAATAGTTTCTTAAAACATAATATCATTTTGTAATACAACACTAAGCTGTCTGTGTTTTTGTCTAGTTCAGCAACATAGGCACGTATCACTATTTCAGAATATCACTTTACATAATTTCTAAAGCTGAGAGTAACAACCATGCGATTTCCTTGAGGAATAGAGAAAGGTAAATTTATGCGAGCAAGATCTGAATGTACTCGCACAAAATCGCATGTCTTAACTTTATCAATTACATTCCATCACTGTGCATTCGTTCATTTGATCCGTAATCGTTGAAGAAATTAATGAAACAAATCAGTGATAAGAATTTATACCAATTACGACTGCACTTCGCACACGAAGTATGTTTCGAAAGAGCACGGCGAATCGTTCCATTTCAATCCCTTGCCATCCCTGTTCCACAGCTCGATGCAGTTTTCTTGCTCGCCGTTCTCGAACTCGAAGTTGTTCGGTTCGCCGGCGTTCCAGTTCGTGAAGGTGATCGGTCGGCCGGTGGACATCCAGAAGAAGTGGCCTTCGTCCGCCAAATCGGTGCCCGACGTCCAAAAGTGCTCGTTGCCCAGACCTTGACAGAGATATTTCGATTAGGTTTTTGTTTATGTTTGTAATTGGTTTTGAGATCAAGATTGATCGGTGTGCTCTTGAGTTTAATAAATTCCTAATTTTTTCTAATTGAAAACATATACCCACGTATAAAGAGATAAGAAAAAGAACATACAATTTTTTTACCAAGCAAACATGTGTAAACTACAATATTAGGTAATAAAGGTTAACCACGAAGCTGTTCATATACGAGGTGTGTTCAGAAAATAACGGGAATTGTTAAATTTCGCGTGTCCTGAGGGTCCGGTTGTCATATTTTTTTTTTATTATGTTGGTATATATGCCCCCGAAGTATGATAAAAACTTTAGCTGTTTTCATTGTTTACTTTGTCTGTGGCAGCCGCTAAGGTTAGACGTGTTTTATGAGCTCGGCGATTTTTCGTTCGTTAAAAGAAATGGATCAAAGAATTGGTATCCAAGTGAGTCTGCTATAAGTAAAACAAGAGTTTACAAGTGGCATAAGAGTTTCCAAGATGGCCGTGAAGACGTTGAAGATGACGAACGCCCCGAACGCACAAGCACATTAACAACCGATAAAAACATGGAAAAAGTGGAAGAAATGGTTATAAACCATCAGAGAAGTAGCTGATGATGTTGGTATATCGATTGGCTCATCCCATGAAATTTTTTCAAATGTTTTGGGTATGAAACGCGTGGCAGCAAAATTTGTTAAATTTTGATGATGTTGGTATATCAATTGGCTCATCCCATGAAATTTTTTCAAAAGTTTTGGGTATGAAACGCGTGGCAGCAAAATTGTTAAATTTTGAACATTATTTTTGGCCAAAAACAATACTGTAATGATGCCCCAGCCTTCATATTCGCCAGACATGCCTGTGTCTGACTTTTTCCTATTCCCAAAAATAAAGAGAACCTTAAAGGGCCGTCGTTTTGCAAGCATAGATGACATTAAAAGCGCATCGCTAAAAGAACTAAAGGCTATCCCAAAGATCGAGTTTTAGAAGTGTTTCGAGTATTGGAAGAAGAGCTGGCACATGTGCATAATATCCAATGGGGACTATTTTAAAGGCGACAACATTAATGTAGATAAATAAATAAATATTTGTTTCAAAAAACGAAAATTCCCGATATTTTCTGAACACACCTCGTATACTAAATTTTATTTAAAATTTTTAGTGGGAACGACTTTTTAGCCAAATTAATAATGAGCAATATGTATTATCTACAATTAGATTTTTGTCACCTCTACTGCACAAGAACTTGGGGCTAGGGTAATACAAGCCTGCGCAGCCATTACGTCAGAACAAATACTAAAATAAATGATGTATTGTAGAGAATTTTTGAAATGTTCTATTTTTTGTTTCATTGTTGTTTTAAGTTCCTATTGCGTTTTTTATTCGTTAAAACTAAGCATAACAATATTTATACCATGTTACTATTAGCTTAATTTTATTTACTAAAAAATTATAATGTATAGATTTTTTTTAAATCACTATATGAATTTTTACAAATTTACTCTTAACAATGACATATGTCTATATAGTAGGCCTTGTATTTAGTAAAAATACAGTTTATCAAGATCTGCACTTCGGTTAAAATCGCACAATAAATAAATATGTTACATACTTTTAAATTTGACATTTCTTTTATTGTACTTACAAGTTTAAATAAAAAAATTCCAAAAAAAAAATAAGTAATAAAAACATAGAGCAAGGTACTTTATCTGTTTTAAACACCAAAAAATGTTTGACTAGGCGCCAGATTATAAATTCTACTAATAATTATTATTGTTTTACATTATTAAAATTTGGCACTAAAAATATTTTTTAAATTTAATTTTATATGGTAGGTTAAAATTCAAAATTTCCTGGCTATACCCTCCGCTAAATTTTAGCCAAAGCCAAATGTTAAAAGATAGTCTTCATCAAATTAAAACAAAATTGCAGGTCATTTTATTTTTTAGTTAAAAAAGTACCTAAGCGATTTAATTCGTATGTTTTTACCCAAATAGGTTAAAACGGGTATCCGGCACTGATGAGGTCTAATAATACCGAAACAGACTGTCTGTCGGTGCCTGAGTGTGTAGCACAGTGCCATTTCTCACAATATGGGCACCCTTAGTAGAAAACCATTTTTTAAATCTGTTCAAAATTAACAAGAAAATGAGGAAAAACAATCTGAAAAATCTATAATTTTAGGAAATTTTAAACAATTTAAAGAAAATATTACAAACAGTTTCTGAAAAATATGCTAGAATGTGATAAAATGTTTTTATCTATTTTGCGTTCATAATGACTTCATTATAACACCGCTTTCGGTGCTGTAATGAGATACTTTATTCCACCCAAAATTTTGTAAAGTAAAATTCGACCAAATTAAATTTAAGGTATAAAATTAATTTTTTTATAGAATTTTTGCAAAATAGATAAAATAGCATAAAGAACTCATGTCATAAGACCTTTTGTCGCACTCGTCCATTACAAATTGTCCTCGTGCGACAAAATGACGTCTTATGACATTATTTCTTTAATATACTATTACCATCTAAGAAAAAATTATATTCCTCCAGTGTACAAATTAAGTTTTGAGATAACAATTTATTAGTTTATTATTATTATATATTTAAAAAAGTTTACCATATACACAACAATTAATATTTTTATCCACGAAAGTGATAAATATTATTTCCTAGCTATTACCGCGGGCGGGGAATTTAAACAAAGGTCAAAAGTAAATAAATGTTTAAAAAAATTTAAAAGGAAAGAAGAAAATTTAGAAAAGATTGAAAAAAGTAGAAAGTTGCCATTTTCATTTTTAATTTTTTTACTTTTTTTTATTTTAATTTTTTACTGCAGTCAGTCGGTCAGTTTTAAAGTGAGATTATTATTTCAACTAAAATGCTAATATAGGTACGTACTCTCTAAAAATGAATTAGTCAAAAATTACCAATTTAATAGTTATTAGTGGCTGCTTTTTCACTTGTACAATGGTTAACCATGGTATACCAAAATTTAGCAGTCAATTCTTATGTAAAATTGTCCCCCGAATCCGGAAATACCGTCAAAATTTATGAAAGTGCAGCAGTTTTTGAGATAAAGTCATTTCCATATTAAATGGAAAATTGACTTTATATCAAAATCTATTCTACTTTTTTAACTTTTGTCGATATATTCGGATTCAGAGAACAATTTTACATAGGAATTGGCTGTTAAATTTTGGGATACCATGGTATTTCATGGTTAACCATGGTACAAGTGAAAAAGCAGTCACGAATAACCATTAAATTAGTCATTTTTGACTAATTCATTTTTAGAGAGTATATTTAAGAAAGTGTGATTGTTTTTTCTTTGTCCTGCACGCAGCAACGAAGCAACGGATCGACGTGATTTTTGCATAGAGAATCTCTATTAGAGATAGTCTTTGAGTCAAAGAGTAAACATTCCACTTTTTATTTTTACATTCTTTACCTTTTTACACTTTTTGACTTAACATTAACATTTATATTTTAAATATGTGCATTATTTAAATATTCTTTCCAATTAATCTTATATTATTAGTGTTGACATTAAAAAAAAATTAGTTATTAATTAATAGTTTATTTGCCAAATTAATTATGATAATCCGGATTAAGAGTGGAATATATCAATTTAAAATTAATCCAAATTTAATTCAAAATATTTTCACGTACGTAGTTCACAAACATGAAATTCGATATTAAAGTTTATTTCACACATGTATTTACACAAATTCTAAAAGTTTTAACAAAATTAAAAGTTTCTATTTCGCAAAAAAAGAACAATACGTTGCTCCTTAAACCTCACGTTTGTGGATCAATGTTTTGCGCAATTGTACCAACAAGTAAATTATTTTTATCGTTTTTTTTCTTAATACCGGATCATTATCTTTAGGTACAGAGCCACTAAAGTGTGAAACTGCATCTTTCATAATACGTATAAGCGATTACATGCCACAAAGAATAACAGGATATTTATGAAATTGCGGTTACATTCTTTTTAAGTATTTTATTCGGCAAGGTGATTAAAAAATGTTAAGTATGTTTTTATCATAAATGGATTTACCTAATAAAATAATAAAGACATAAAATGTCTAATGTATTATATTTAATATTGCTATAAAATCGTTATTAAATTAAATTAAAGGAATGATTAAAATGACATTAAGTGTAGGAATATTTACTGCAAAGCATCAAATTAATTGTAACCTTTTCCACAGCACAACATTAAATAATTATTGTATATTTTCACCATTACTCGTATTCTTGACTTTTCACAAATGAATATCACACTTAAGTTTCGTAATTTGGTTTAATATAAGGAAATAAAATTATATAAAAATATCAATAAGCATTATTTATCCTTCTGTTAGTTTAAAGTTCCTAATTTATATTTCTTGTATACTAAGTGCCAATTTAACGCTCCAGTTCTAACGCCAATTTATTAAATTAATTGTGGTGAATTCCGAAATTTATAATTAAAATAAGAGATATTGGATCAATTAGTGTTGAAAGGTAAGAAAATAATTATATTAAGGTATTAAAATAATATTTGTTATGTGCTTTAAACTGCGTGGCCTTATAAATATTGTAATTTTAATAATTACTACCGTTTAATTTAAAATAATTAGGTAATTAATCAATTTTAGCATAATTAGACTGCGTTAATTGAGTGGCCTGCATTAATATTTTAAGATAATCTTTAATTCAACAAAAAAAAACAAAAAAAACATGGGACAGTTCAACTTAGTTAATGATCATTAAAAAATAAATTAAAATAGAAAGTCAAACCAAACCCAGATAGCTACATAAATATGTACTTAATAGGATTTATTAGAAATAGATGATATGACGATTAAATAAAAACTTTAAATTAAACATACATGTAACAATTTAATTAAGTTTACTTGATGCAAATTTCTAAATATTATACAAATGTTTTTATACATTTATACATGTTTATTTTTTATTTTATTGACGTGGATATA